CGGGTCACCCAGTTAGGACTGAACTCACTGCACTAAGCATGGATCATGAAAATATTCTTGCTAAACATTGCGAATGCTATTTGCTGTGACAGAAATGTGCTCCCTTGTTTGGGACAGTTTTTCATATGTAATTCCAATGAGATTTTGTGCCTGTCTTCAATATAGACACCATTTTTTTCTGATCCACATATATTGAGGCTCAAAAGCAAGTAAAAACTTATTCCTGATTAGAAAGTGTCCTCAAATCCAATGCAATGTTTGAAATTCAAACAGCCAAAATGAATCTAATAAAGAAAAGTAAAAAAGAAATTAAAATTTCAGCATTAAATGACCCATGAAAGTGTTGATAAGCTGTTAAAGAGACAAATAAATCAATCACCTTATAAAATAGAAACAAACATGACCTTTCTTTGATATCATGCTAATTCATACTGACAATGATCTAAAACTAGATATTTATCAAAAATCTATACATCTTTACATGTGTCTTCTCATTGAGATGTTTCTTTTTTCATATCTTCCTCAGTCTATTTTTTATTTATCTAATTGTCTGTTCATATATATTGGGTTGTCTGGAAAGTTTATGCCGATTTTTAGTTCTTCATGTTCCAACACATTAGAACACATCAAATTTATTGACAGATATAATCTGCTTACATTTCTGATTAGAGCACACTTCAAACTATCTCTTGAGAAAGAAAGTTTAAAATTACTTAATTCATGTTTTGCATCCCTATGAACATGGAAGATTATAAGGTGCATTTTAGACACTTGATGCCTTTCCTTTTACTGTAAATACAAAAATGCATCACAAGCAACAAAAAAAAATGTGTTGTATACAGTGAAGATGCTTTTGCTGACAGAACTGTATGGAAGGGGTTTGCTAAGTTTAGAGTTGATGATTTAGCCTTATTTATGAAGTTTCTTTGGCAACCCAGCAAAAATTGTTGCAGCTAGGATGGGATGTGTTGCATCCACCTGCCATATTCACCAGAATTGTTCTTTCAGATTTTCATTTATTCAGGTCCTTGCAAAATAATCTCAATGGTAAAAATTTAAATTCTTTGGATGACATAAATAAGCAACTTTTTAATGAGTTCTTTGCCAAGAAACCCCCAAAGTTCTGGGAAGATGAAATCTTTAAGTTGAAGGAATTGTGGAGAAAGGTTGTGCAACAAATTGGTTCATATTTAGTTGAATGAATATTTAATGGCATCATTTTGTGTTTTAATTACCCTTAAAAATCGGCATGAACTTTCAGGATCAACCCAATACTTGTGCGATATACCTCAGTTTGTGGCTATGGTTAGTGTAGTAATCTGGGTTACCATTTATTTCTGATTATTTACATGCAGACTATTGTTCTCATCTTTATTGTTATCACAACGTTTCGGCCATTGTTCCATCTGGACTTCATCAGGTGTATGTATAATCTAGGTAACCTACAGAAAATTCAAAAATAAACCCTTTATTTAATCTATGGGAGTGGACTGTTTTCATTTCACAGCTCATGTATAGATTTTTTTTTTTGTTGTTTTAATCAATTCACCCCAAGCAAGGTGATAATGCCACTAAGATGCAAGGGGCTCCTGGGAGTGAAAGAGAATGAGAAGACTTTAGAAGAAACTGGAAACCCAATCCTAAAAAGAAAATAAAGGATAAACTTCTAGTCCTGTTCAAAAGACCAGGGAGGAGTGTGAACTGGACAGTAAATGATTCTATGTATTCCTATTGAAGAAAAAAATAGATAAATAGTAAATAAAATTTTAGAGCTTAGGTGGAGAGATTTTAGAAGGATAGAGTTGAAGTAGACTTTAGAAGAAACCAGAAAGCCAATCCAAAACGGGAAACAAGGGATAAACCTCTACTCCTGTTCAAAAGACCAGGGAGGAATGTGAACAAGATGATAGGTGAACCCATCTACTCCTTATTTTAGTACTGCTCAGTTTGTGCTCACCCTGTTTCCACTGACTTCAAGTACACTGCCCGGCCCAGGGATTAAACTCTTAATTACCCTCTCACCAAATTCATCGTCCAATACTTTAATCCATTTGGCTATTGTCCTATGCAACAATTCTGTATATGGAATGTCTCACAGAGAATATTCTGTATTATAATGATTTGATTTCCCTGTCTAGGACACAATACCCACACTACAATTTCCTGCTAATTTTTTAATGATGTCCAACTTGTTCCAGTTCAGACTGTTATTGTTCTAGGGTGTCTCAGGGCAGTGTAATGATTATCAAGCATGTCTTGCTAGAACAATTATGACTGAGTTGTGAGTTCAATCCTCACTGGGTGCCCCATACTTTCGGCTTTGTGCCACATCTGAGCTACACTTGGAAAATCACAATATCTGTTATTGTTCTGTTGCTATTAGATAAGTTCTCCCCTCATAACTTGGTAGGTTCTTGCAGCAGCAGCATGTTTATCTCCCCCCACAGTTCATAATAGACTCAACCTATTAGGTCCATATAAACTGTGCCAAAGAAAAAAATGACTGACTTAACTCGCAGATGTATGTGGACACCAAAATCTTTTAAGTGCTTAGGGCCTCTGTGAGTCTTAATCCGGTCCTGATTCCATTTGAGGTTGGGGTTGAGCTTTTAGACCCAGTAGGTGTTTGAGGCAAAGTCCACTCATCAGGATTGGTGTAGGTTTGGGGTCTGCTCTGTGGTGATTAGTTTAGTTTTGGAGGTACTAAATGGTACCAGCCAGTCTTTTCCCAATGTTACTCATGAAATATACCAGGATTGAAGAACAGAATGTGCCAAAACGTTTGGATCACATGGGGTGTGGGGAATGAAATAAATGGGAAGGAGAGAGAAAAGGAGATTTAAGACTGTTTTTTCTGGTCATTATTAGAGGAGTGCAGTTCAAAGGCAGAGTAGTAAAACTTAGACTCGCCCAGATTTCTATCAAAGTTTGTCTCATTGGGAACATAAAATCTTTTGTTCCTGTCTGTGTCTGCGACACCAACCGCTAGTCTTTCATATTCTGTGTGACTTCCTTTTTCACTTTCCTCTTTTCCATTGAAAACATGGGAGACTCTCACAACCATAAAAAAGGCTCTCCTTGGATTTTTCTTTTATCCCGACCAACCTTGCCCACTATACTGCCAGCTGGTTGTGATTACTAACATTAGTGCTTAATCCCCCACCCTATATACCTCAGATCATTTACCATGTCTCCCAGTTCCCAATAGGTGAGTTTACATGTTTCATTTTTTTTTTCCCCAAATTTCATGGGTTAAAATAGAAGACCACAAATTCAGTAAACATTTCAAAATTATTTACACAATTTACATTGTTCAGACTGATCATCTTTATTACCATATTCACAATGTTTCAGCCACTCTGTGTTCCGGCCTTCTTCAGGTGATATTTCATGGAATTTCGAACGGAACCCTTTATTTAGTCCACTGGGGTAGATTGTTCTAATTCCACGTGCCATGCCTTTTTTGGATATCTTGATTTCAGTTAATTTCCCTTGGTTACTCAACTCTCCAAGTTTTTTGTTTCCTCTGCTCTTTGGGTCAAGTTACTTTGGGATCAGTCAACCAATGCTTGGAGAATTGTGTTACCAAGGGGAATTAACAGAAAGTGAGATATCCAAAGGCATGGCATGTGGAATTAGAACAATCTACCTCCATGGACTTAATAAATGGTTTAATTCAAATTCCAAAAAATGTCACCTGAAGAAGGCATACAATGGCCAAAACATTCGAAAATATAGCAATAAAGATGAGCCCAACAGTCCAAACAATGTAAATAGTGTAAATAGTTACAATAACTCATGACAAAAAGAGAGATTTAAAAAGGATACATTAACAAATATCTTTCAGGCAAAACGAAGACATAGCTTGAGTACGCAAAGGATCAAATCAGCAATTGTGACCAGTTCAAGAAAAGCCTCTTGCCCAACAGAAGGCGATATAAGCAAATTGTGTTTTAAAGATCTACTTATCCAGCCAGCTCCAGCTGTTCCAAGAGTAACAATAACATCTGTAAGTCAAACACATTTTCCATTACATTATTCAACAATTTCTAAAGATTATTCATTTTTTTCTGAGTGTTTCCTTTCATCTTCATTTTTTATTAGATGAAGCGTTGTCAGCCATTATGAATTTTTGATGAGTATTTACTTCCATCTTCATGTTTTATTAGATGAAGTATTGTCAACCATTATGAATTTTTGACTAGTATTTGCTTCCATCTTCATGTTTTATTAAATGAAGCATTGTCAGCCATTATGAATTTTTGACTAGTATTTGCTTCCATCTTCATGTTTTATTAAATGAAGCATTGTCAGCCATTATGAATTTTTGACTAGTATTTGCTTCCATCTTCATGTTTTATTAAATGAAGCATTGTCTGCCATTATGAATTTTTGACTAGTATTTGCTTCCATCTTCATGTTTTATTAAATGAAGCATTGTCTGCCATTATGAATTTTTTGACTAGTATTTGCTTCCATCTTCATGTTTTATTAAATGAAGCATTGTCTGCCATTATGAATTTTTGACTAGTATTTGCTTCCATCTTCATGTTTTATTAAATGAAGCATTGTCTGCCATTATGAATTTTTGACTAGTATTTGCTTCCATCTTCATGTTTTATTAAATGAAACATTGTCAGCCATTATGAATTTTTGACTAGTATTTGCTTCCATCTTCATGTTTTATTAGATGAAGCATTGTCAGCCATTATTATTTTCTTTTTTTGTTAGGTTCTTGTCCAGGGTTGCAAAAACAAAAAGATTTACTTTCATCACAAAGTTACCTGGAGAAAGATCTGTAGAATTCACCATCTGCTTTAATTACTAAACTATCTTTTTACAGAAGACCAGATCTACCTTTTTTTTGAATTAAGAGTATTAGTAGGATATGCAGATGGTGTAATGTATAACAGCTTAAATAAGAAATCAGACCCTAGTTCAAATTCCAGCCAAGTTCGTTGCATTCACTTTTGTGCAAACATCCCTTGGAAAAGTGGTTACAGCCATATTGCGTTAAAATACCAGTGCCCATATGATCACCGATGTTAAGTAACATCAAGCTTGGTCAGTACCTAGATGGGTGACTGCTTGGGAATACCAATTTCTGTAAGCTTTGATGTGTAGGTGGTGTAATGGATAAAACCTCAGAACTGCTAATCGGTGTGCGGTGTTTCAATATCAATTGGGTTTATATTCACTTATGTGCAAATGCCCTTGGGAAAGATATGAATCCACCTTTTCTCCTCCATCTATGGGTTAATTGTAAGACCTGTATTGCTAAATCATTATTATCTCAAAAAAAAATTCTTAAAATGTAAAAATACTTTCTGGTTTTAAATAAGCTGCAAAATGTTGATAAGTTGTAGAAAACAAATCAATCAAATCAAGCACTGGAAAGATATGAAGCCATTTCTCTCCCAATCTATGGGTTAAATAGTAGAGCAAGCTGGGCTCTTTAGCTATGATCTAGAAGGACAAAACTGGTTTGGTATGGGGTTAGTAATTCCATCTTGTAAAAACCTACTCCTTGCTATGGAAACCACAACAGAAATGCCTAATGTTCAGAAAACTGTGACCTCATGTGTCTTAGGGAGTCTACAGAACTTGAAAGCCATGACTCCCAAAATCCTCAGAGACAAGAGCTGTGGTTTGCATACTCCTCGGAGAGTCTATGGAACTTGAGAGCTGTGGTTTGCATACTCCTCGGAGAGTCTATGGAACTTGAGAGCTGTGGTTTCCACACTCCTCGGAGAGTGTATGGGAGTTGAGCTGTGGTTCCCATACTCCTCAAAGAGTCTATGGAATGTGAGAACCGTGGCTTCCATATTCCTGAGAGAGTTTATGAGACTTGAGAGCTGTGGTTCCCATACTCCTCGGAGAGTTTATGGTACTAAAGAACTGTGGTTTCCATACTCCTCAGAGTGTATGGGAATTGACAGCTGTGATTGCCATACTCCTCAGAAAGTTTATGTGACTTGAGAGCTGTGGTTTCCATACTCCTCGGAGAGTATGGTACTAAAGAACTGTGGTTCCCATACTCCTGAGAGAGTCTATAGGACTTGAGTGCTGTAGTTTGCATACTCCTGAGAGAGTCTATGGGACTTGAGAGCTGTGGTTCCCATAATCATTGAGTAGTTTATGGGACTTGAGAGCTGTGGCTTCCATACTCCTCAGGGAATCTACAGGACTTTCTTTCTCTGTTTCATTTCATTTGGAATCTATTAGGTTGGTGCAAAATAATGACGTAATAATGTCGTTTTTTTGACGTTACGTCAAAAACGACATTATTAAATGCCCTTTATTTTTGCACCAACCTAATACAATTTTTGGTGCCCACCGATATGAATGAGAATGGAGAGCAAGATGGGGTAATCATTGGCTAGGCAGTGGAAAAGCTCACTGAGGACATTGTTGTATGGTTACAATTGAATGAGGCTAGTATGCTTAAATCTTAGGTCACAATGAATTGTAACTTCATGTTAACACAACCTTTGTTAGCACAACAATTTTGTTTACTCTGTTTCACGTGCAAACCATGAGTCAACCTGTAATGATGGTTTTCAGACAATTCCCAATGATGTCATATGCAATGTTTGTCTCCTCAGACAAACTGATCATGGTGAGATTCAACCTCAGATCTCCTGGTCAAAATGCTAATGTCCTAATTGCTCAGCCACATGTCCATCATCATCAATCCCATGAATGGGTGTGGTCATAGGGTTGCTGTGCAGCTAAACACCTGACCATTTCTCTCCACAAATCTGGATTGAATGCTGGAGAGGCCTTCATTCATGTCTAAACGTAGCAGAGCACATCCCCAATCCAGGTCAGCCAATGTCCTCTAACTTGAAGGCTCACTTTGGTCATGGACACCTGGTTGTTGATTCCATCAGGTAAAATCTTTCTAGCCTCAACCGTTGACTTCAGCTCCCCACACTGCAATGCTGCATCATAACTGCTCTGGCTGTATACATAGGTGTGACGCCGAGTCGACCCGATTGTGCTAGATATTGCTGATGCTACAAGAAGGTACAACCACCCCTTGACATGTCCTGTTTTTAACCCTACTAGGTGTCTAGCTACCCTCTTTAACAGAAAAGCATGGTCGGGGAACTGGTTTAATTTCTGATAACCTTACCATGACTTATTTCCAAAGGGATTTTCTTCCTAAATTCTTGACAAAAGCTCTAATCTTTGAATTTCTTGAATGAGGAGATCATTATTTACAAGCCAACTATTGTCCCCATCTTTGTTGTTATTATCACCTGATTGCCTTCTGAATTTCTGGAATGAGAAGTTATCATTATTTACATGAGGATTACTGTCCTCATCTTTGTTGTTATTGCAACATTTTAGCCGTTGTGTTTTCAGGGACAATAGCCTAATGATTTAATGTGACATAGTAATTATGAGTTCAATCCCGGGGTGGGCATTGTATACTTGGACTCAGTGGAAACTGGGCAAGCAATAACTTAGCAGTACTAAAAGTATTTGAAAATTGTGGCAAATTGAATGTAGTCCCAATCTAACCTAACAACCTGAGGAAATAACCTTGGCACATTTCAAGGTTTGAACTGCAACAGTTTGGGCATCATTCAAAAATTAGCAAGAAATTGTAGTGTGGGTATTGTGTCCCAGATAGGGAAATCAAACCATTATAATACAGAACATCCTCCATGAGACAATAGCATAATGGTTTAAAGCATTGATTTATCTGAATTTGGTTACATAGTAAATATGAGTTCAGTCCTTGTGTCAGGCAGTGTACTTGGATTCCGTTGAAAAGAGGCAATCAGTAGCCGAGCAATACTAAAATTAACAACTAGACGAGATATCCCTAGACATGGGCAGTGGAACAAAGATTAGATTGAAAGAAAAGTTTAAACAAAGGGTTCAGTTTGGAATTCCTTGTAAGTTACCCAAATCGACATACGTTCAGTAAAGGTGACGTAATTATGAGTTCAATCCCTTCGTCAAGCAGTGTACTCGGACGAAGTTGAAAAAGGGGTGAGCAATAAGTGAGCAGTACTAAAAATAAGAACTAGAAGAGATATCTGTGGAATGAGAAATGTCTATCTCTATAGATTAAATATAGAATTTGGTTTGGAATTTCCTGTAGGTTACCCGGATCGACATGCACCTGATGAAAGCAAGAAGGCACAACAACCAAGACATTGTGATAAAAACAACAATGATGAGGCCAATAGTCTGCTGAGATCTTGATCATGTTTCCTGCCAATAAAAAGCCAAACACAGATTCTTAAAATCTAATTATCTTGATATTCCAGAAAAATAACATTTATCCCAGAAGACCCGTGAGCGCATTTAGCCAAACAAAGCAGTCAGTGAAAAACGTGTGTCGACCGAAAACTGCAGGTAAAAATCAATGATTCATTTTTACTTATTGTTATGATGTTGATATGGGGTTAGTAGAGACAAACGCCAAATAACACGTAACAATAAAAAGGGTTTTAATAGGTTGGTAAAAAGGTACAGAAATCGCCTGAGTAGTCAATAACTAGGTCAGCTAAGAACTTCTGTCTATCTATCTTCCCCATGTCAACTGACATGCCACTATTTAAAGTCTTTGTTCACAGACGCAGACAAGTTCATCTTCAAGAGGGGTGGTAGGTTTCCGACACAACACTTATTTTTCAAACAATAACTGAAACAGTCTTTAACAGTAGCATATAATTTTTTTATTATCATTATTTTATTTTTGGTGGATTGAGATATAAAATTTCAATTTTTATTAAAATCATCTTTAGTTACAAAAAAGACATTTATTAGGAAAATAATAATGTAAAAAGTACAAGTTTTTTTTTTTTTTAAAGAAATAAGTTAAAAAACAAATAATTATGGACTTCATATTCAAATATCATGCACTTTATTATCTGAACCAAAACGCTCAACTTGGTTTTTATACTCCCAATGTTTTATTGGGATTTTCCCAATTATATTTGGTAACAAAAATATTGTGACGCCGGCAAGAAGAAAGGAACACAAACACAGATGAAAATGTTTGAAAAATCTTGTATTTTAGGAAGAGAGAGGAAAGTTTCATTGCAAACAGTCGGGTTTGCGGAACTTATCTGAAAGATGCGTCCTTATAACAGTTTTATATTTCCTTTGTCGTTTTGGCTGGGTTGAAGAAAATAGTCTTAACTTCCGTGCTTCAGTTGCTGTCTAAATCCACACACGTGTCCTGGTGTTTAGATGACGGAGAGTGCAGACGGGGAACGTGTTGTCTCTGAGGGTCCCCACAAGCAAAAGAGGAAGAGAGCTTGTAAAAACCGCTCTCGTGGGGGTTTGGTGAAAATCTAAAAAGGTAGCCTGTGATTGGTTGTTTTTCATCCAATCACAGGGCACCCAGTTAGCGATTCCGTAATAATTTCAATAGTTTCGACCATTCAGATTCTATCTTATATATAAATCTAGCATTTGTATATTCTTGAATATTGCTGCCACATATGGTCCAGTGCTATTTATAGATTCTTGATAAAATCCAAAGAAGAATCAGCAATATTATTGGTCCTTCAATCATTTTCCCACTGTTGTAATGTAGATTTTCTGTGTATTTATATAAATACTTTCATGATAACTGTTTAGATAAACTCTTCGCTATGATATCTAGACTTTATGAATTTAAGCGCAGTACTGGATTGGCAACAAGGTCTCATCATTTTGCAGTTGAAATAGCTAGGTTTTAACATGAGTTCTTTGCTAAAAGTTTCTTTTCTCGTATTTTTCAAATGTGGAACTCTCTTCCGGCTTTTGCCTTCCAGTCAACTTTCATCTTCAAAAATTTAAAAGCAATATCAATCATTATCTACTGTCTTCTTGCTCCTTAATAATTTTTCTCTATTTCTTTTTATTTTTCACTCAGTAACCCCTTTGGTCTTGGCTTTTAATGCCTTGCATGGCAAAATGATTAGAAAACAAATTTAAATGCAATGTCAGTCTTTATCTATTGTCTACCTGATTACTCTTCTTTTGTTCTTGTTCCTTAATAATGTTTCTCTATTTTTTTTTATTCTTTCACGCACAGTAACCGATTGTGTCTTAGTGGCTTTACTGCCTTGCATGGGGTGAAATGATTAG